CTCCCATCCCCACCTGGCCTCTGAGGCTCCAGCCGCACCGTGCCATTTGAACCCCAGGCCCTTTGCATATGCTGGCTCTTGCACAAATGCCTACCCCACTCCAATCTGTCCTTGGGGCATCGGCTTAGAGATGGGGGTTGGAGCCCTCTTATGGTGCTACTATCCACCACAGATCACACTTGGCCTGACCTCGGGCATCCCCTCTGCTGACCACGGTTCCCAGGGACAGTTGCCTTCCCACCTCTGCCTTTAGGGTTGGGCTGGAGCCAGACAAAAAGCATCTCTTAGGGTCTGGCCAGTGCTGCCAGGAGTGGCCCAGGCCCTCAGAGGCCTGGTGGAAGGGACATGCCGCCCGTTCCATCTCTCCTCAACCCTGCCCAGCCCAAGCCCATGGGGTCTGGGGGAGCCCCTGCCTCGGCTCTGGGGAGCCCCACTGCACGCCCTCCACAGGGAGGCTCTCGTGACGGGCCCAAGGTCATGGCCAGCCCTGGCCAGCTGGGTCCTGCTCAGAGACGCAGCCATCTCCCACCTGTTGACCACACCCTTTCCTAGGCCCGTTTCTCAAGGGCCAGGCAGGAGACCCCCACCCTCAGCAGGCCCTCTGTGCTGACCCAGGCAGCGGGCCACTGCGGGCTGCTCAGGCGGCTCTCCCAGGGCCTGCCCTCATGTCCAGAGAACCCTGGCACCGAGAGCTCTATCTAGGGGTGGTCAAGAGGATCTTCCTGGGTCAGGTGATGCGTCCCCAGAGCCAACCCTCTGGGCATGGAGTGGGCGTTTGGACAGCTAGGACATGTGCACCTGCACTGCACTCTGCCCGACCTCAGGGTGACCACATCCCAGTACCCTTCCTACAGGCCCTGCCCACCTCGAGGCTCTGCCCAAGTTCTGTGAACATGGACAGAGGCTCCCAGGAAGGGGCTTGTGGGCTGCAGGGACCCTGGCCGAGGCCCTGGCCACCCTACTCCTCCTGGGCCCTCCAAGTGCCACTTGGCAGAGCTGGCAGGGACCCCGTGGGTCTCCCTACGCCCATCCAGCTCCTCTGCTGAGGCCTCAGCTGACCTTCCCACCTGGGAGTCAGGGCCAGAGCAGGAGGGAGGCTCAGCCAGCACAGGTGGGTGGCGGGGGCACAGTCTGGGACCTCCGGGCCACACCAGGGACCTGGCCAGGCCTGCTCCTCGAGTCCCCTGCCCCTGGTCCCATGCAACTGGTGGAGGAGGGTGGCCAGTCACAGTCCCACTGAGGCTGGGAGGAGATCCTGGACCTCTGGGCCTGGCCTTGCTGGCCCCAGCCCCTTCATCTGCTACTGGACCAGGCCAAGAGATAACAAGTACTGCCTCAAGACAGAGGCCAGCAAGGGCCAGGTGGTGAGGGCCAGGTGGTGAGGGCCAGGTGGTGGGGGTCAAGGTGGTGAGGGTCAAGGTGGTGGGGGTCAAGGTGGTGAGGGTCAAGGTGGTGGGGGTCAAGGTGGTGGGGGTCAAGGTGGTGGGGGTCAAGGTGGTGGGTCAAGGTGGTGGGTCAAGGTGGTGAGGGTCAAGGTGGTGGGGGTCAAGGTGGTGTGGGCGTGGACCCTCACAGCTCTGTCCAGCCTCTCGTTTCTACTGGCCTCACCTGGGGAGGCTGGGGGAGCGGGACACGGTGTGTCCCCACTGCCCAGGACCTGGCTGCTGGGACAGCAGTGGCAGACTCTGGTTATGGCTCTTGGCCTCTGCGTGTCAGGATTCACACAGCCACCCCTCCATCACCCCAGTCCCTTCAGAAAGAGCTCACGCCTCCCTTCCTGAGCACCCTCTCCCTTCCAGGTGGACTCCAGGCTCGGGGTCAAGGGAGACCAGCTGGTGGCCAAGCAAGAGTAGCCCTGGAGCCCAGGGCCAGGAGAGGCTGTGCCACGCGGGCCTGGCGGGGCCCTGCTCCAGTGCTGGCTCTGCTCAACCTCAGGTGCACCAGGCCCACCCTGTCCCCACCGCCCCTGCTCAGGCTGGGACCTCCGTGCCCCAGCGCTGCGCCTGGCCCTCCTGGGGCGCCTGACGGCAGGATCCCGTCTCCCCCTGAAGGGCTCCTCACGGTCATCCTGGGGATGGCTGCTCTTCACCCAGTGCACTGAGGGCAGGGCTGGCCTGGCCACCCCTACCCTGTGGCACACCTCAGCCCGCAGCAGCCTGTGGCCCCAGGCAGGGCTGCCACTGACCCTGCTCCCAGAGCAGGACATTGAGGCCACACTTTAGTGTCACCACATGGCTGGTTCTGCTGGAGGCTCAGATAACTGCTGCATAGGGAGCAAAAGTGGCTTCCCCTGCCTGCGGTCAGCTGTCCAGGCACGAATGCAGGGTGTCCGCAAACCTGCCTCACACTCCCACGCCCAAGGCAGCCAGGGTGTCACAGGTGGATGACGAGCCCGAGGGCCCTAATAGATCCCCTCATCAGAGTGGTACAGAGCAGGAGCCTGAGGTCCAGAGAGGCCAGCAGCCTGCTTGAGGGCACTCAGCAAAGCTGGGCTCCAGGGCCTGGCTCCTGCCTCAGATTCACCCGCTGCTCTGGCTCGAAGCTGCAGTGCTCAGGAGCGACGCCATGCAGGGGGCAAGGTGCAGAGCCTGATCCTGGAGTCCGAGGCCACAGGCCCCAGGTGGGCAGGAGGGCACGGGACCACGGTGGCCACCCGCATGCCCCAGGAGCAGCACTTGAATGTCTACAGAGCCCTGGCGTCCGAGGCCTCACTGTGCTGCAGTGTGAGTCCCCGGGGGGCTTCGGCCATCTGATCGAGGGTGGGACCACCAGGAGGCCACACTGCACGGCAGCCCTGAGAGGCAGGTGTCAGGACGTCCAGACAGCGGAGGGCAGCGTGGACAGTGCACCTCCTGAGAGCTGAGCCCTGGACACCGGCTCTGGGATGTGACAGGCCCAGCGTTGTAAGTCCCTCCGGCAAGCCAGCGGATGCGAGGTGCACTGGAGTCCCACAGCCCTCCATAGAGACTGGCGGAGGGGCCTCTAGGGATGGCGCCCAGGTCAGGGGGTGCCCAGCCTGCACTGCAGCAGGTCAGGGGTCAAGGAAGAGACGGGGGAGACGGGGCTCGCACAGGACTCCGCAGAGTGGGGCCTGGGACAGAGGTGGGGCACCTTGGAGAGCCCGGCAGTCTGCAGGGCCAGCCACCGAGCTGGGCACTGCCCTCAGGCCCTGACCCTGGTGAAGCCCCATGTCGGCATGGGCGGCCCCGAGATAAGAGCCCACTGAGGCCCCCGGCTGCCCACCAGGCGATAAGCGCAGCCTGTGCGGGGCCTGATAGGCCGCGGCCACTGCAGCGGTTGGCCGGTGGCTGCTTATCAGCCCATCACTGCACAGAAATTCGCATCTGCGGGAGCCGACAGGGCGCCTCCAGCCCAGAGGATGCAAATAGCGCAGGAAACTCGGGGGCGTAGCCCAGCCCCAAACCACGGCTCACCGCCACCCTGGCCCAGCCTTCTGCAGACCGGCCTGCTGCCTGAGGGCTCTGACTGAGCAAGGGGACAGCCGATGCCCACGTGGCTGGGCAGGGAGGTGCCGAGGACAGTGACGTCCACTAGCCGGGAGCCTGGGCTTGGGGCGCCGGTGCTCTCAGACACTCCTTCTCCATCCCGCGCGGGGTCTCCTCCAGGAGGGGGGGCAACACTGCTGGGCTGCCCAGTGGCCATCGGGGCCCACAGCAGGCCATGCTGGCTGAGGGGATGCAGGGCGGAGGGAGGCCAAGAGGCCCATCTCGCCACCCACTCAGGACGGGGAAACTGAGGGGAAGCCGGGCAGTCTGAGCGCAGGCCTGCTGCCCACCCCTGGCTCCCTCCTGTGAGGGGAAAGGTCCGCGTGGGACCCTGGGCTGTGAGACCCGAAGCTCTAGGCGTCCCCGAGAGGTTTCTGTCAGGTCACCCGGCCCTGCCCTGCCCGTCACTGGCTGGAGAGCCCTGGGGCCGCTGGCTGCGAGGACCCAGGGCCGCCCCGCCCGGGCCCCTGCTCCTGGGCGGCCCCATAGCTCTGGAGAGCCGAAGTGTGTGGGCCTGGTCTCCACGGGCTGTGGGGCCACCACCCTGGTGTAGCCCCCAGGCCAGCACCCCCGTGCACTGGCCACCCTGCCCACACGGGCTGCCATCCGTCAGTGCTCTCTGGAGAGCCCACGTGTCCCACCAGGAGGCCTTCCTAGCCTCGCTAGCCTGGCCCCTGGGCCCCTCTGCCTCAGCAGAACCTTCCCGATGGCCAGCACGGCCAGCCTTTCTCCTCAGGTCGGCAACTGCTCCGGCAGAGCCATGAACGGCCCAGCGCACCCAGCCCCGCGTGCGTGGCAGGTCCTCTGCAATCGCCTGTGGTGGGCAGGGCTCCCCTCTGGATGCCCGCCTTGCCCGAGGACCTCACCTCTCGGCCTCCCTCCCTGGCCGGCCAGCTCTGCAGGAGGCCTGGAACCCACCCTGAATGCACTGCTGGGCCCAGTGCTTATTGACCGGGCAGCAGCGCCTGGCTGCTGGCCTGTCCTACAGTCACAGGTCTATGGAATCTGCCAGTCCTGGAAGGGTGGCCACAGGGGACGTGTTCAGGACCTCTGAGGTCAGAGCTTGGCTCCGAGTGAGTCACAGGGCAGGGGTGACGTGACCAGCCCTCGGGGACTTCCAGGCCCAGGCCTGTCCCAGTTGGCAGCCAAGCTGTCCTGGGTGGGGCTGCAGCCACTCAGGGTTGGGGTCCTCCCCTGCCCTACCCAGGGCACTGCAGGCTTGGAACCCAGCCCCTCTGTGGTGAAGCCTGGGCCCAGGTGGCTCTAGACACGCCCTTCTGAGTCCCTTCCTGGGGACAGGGTTTCTGCCACCACCACATGCTCCTCGTTCCCAGCCAGGTCAGACCCGTCTTCCAGACTCCTGCAGGTGACTCTCTGCCCCCGTGTGGCTGGGATCCAGACACCACCGCTACACGGCCAGCTGCACAGGCCCCATGGACCTCCACAGACTCCAGAAGCCGGCCACGGCTGCCCTGGGGACCTGCTGCTGGTTACCTGGCCCACTCCAGGGGCTGGCTGCTGCCGCGGCTGCCTCCTGAGACCCGGTCTCTGGCTCCTGCTCCTCCATCTCCTCGGGGCCTCCTGGGGACGTGGGGGTCGTTGGCTCTGGGGGTGGATCTGTGTCTGCAGAGGGGAAAACACCATCACATCTCTGCCGAGCCACCCCTGGGCACCGGGCTGCCCTTCCTGAGGCCGGGAGGGAAACTGAGGCCGCCTGGCTCGAGTGGAGAGGATGAAGGGGACAGCCCGCGTTCCCTCTGGGCCTTCGGAAACCCCTCACTAACTGCAGCTGCGACTGCCAGTCCAGCTGCTCTGGGTGACTAGAGCAGAGGCCACAGGTGTGCCAGGGCAGAGGCACGTGTGGCCCCCGGCTCCTGGTCTCTGCCGCCGGCGGCCCCTCCACCAGGCCCTGCACCCAATTCCAGCCCAAAGGGCATATTTGCCTTTCCAGCGGGGCCTGATAACCACCGGCCCCCAATCGATGCGTTCCCATAAAGCCCCCCGGGTGACGTCACACGCCCGGCAGATTATTAATACCCGAGATAAGGGTGTGATTAACATCAAATAAATCAATCACGCAGTATAAAAGTCCTATTATTTTTGGCTATAAATCAAAGTGGCTGGCATTTGAGCTCCAGCCACCGGGAGGGAGCGCAGGCCCGCCTGAGCGCATAGGCTCCGCGCAGCCTTATCGCGCCCATCGCCGCGTTATCACCGGCCGGTGCCAGGTGCAGCCCTGGCTGTGTTTTCCAGCTCCTGCCCTGGCCCCGCCCCCGCCCCCTGTGCAGCCCCAGCTCCCAAATCAGATAAAGGGCCTGGCTCCCGGAAGGCCGCCCGGGCAAAGTCCACGGCAACCCGCCACATGCCCTTTGGCAGGTCTTGCCCGGCCCTTCCATCAGCACCCCGTGGTGCAGATGGTGACAGAGGCCGGGCAGCCTCCGGGTGCTGCGGCTCCCAGATGTGCACAGCCCTGGGGCCAGGCCCCTCTGCCGGCTCTCCTGGGAGCGAGGGGAGTCTGGGTGAGCCCCGGGTGACCAGCCTGACTGGCTCCGACGTTGGTGGCTCTGGTGACCCCAGGGGCTGCCTGCTGGATGCAGCCATCTGGGCTAATGTGGGGGGACTCTGGCCTGGGGCTGTCCTGGGGACCCTGACACCTGGCCTGAGAAGCACTGAGGTGGGGCTCGCAGGGCAAAGGGCCCACTCTTGGCCAGGGACCAAGTCCGCCTGTGCCCTCCCGTCCCTCCTCGGCACCCAGCTCCCGCAGACCACCTGGCACCGGCACACACCCTGGGGTCTCTCTCCGGCCCCGACCCACCTGCACTCGGGTCATTCACCCCTCCCACCCTCCACGTGGCCCGGGTGGTGGCCACGTCACCGGGTCAGAGGACAGGGAGGTGATTCAGACTGCAGGGAACCGGCCTCCCTGGGGGCGCTGTCTTCTCTGGAGCATGGGGACATGCCCCCTCCTGTGCCTCCACCTCAGTGGCCCTTCTCCTGTTGCCCCTGCCCCTGAGCAGGCTCCTGGGAGTTGGGCGGGTTCACCTAGGAGGGCAGGTCCCCTCCAAGTCTGCACCAGCTGGAGCATCCCTCCAGCCCTGGAACCGCCAGCAGAAGGGCCAAGGAGCGTCTGGAGGTGCCGGGGCAGAGGCCAGGAGAAGGAGCCGGATCCGGAACTTGGAATGTGGGCGTCTGGCCAGTCCTAAGGCCCGAGACAAGTCACTCAACCTCTCTGAGCCTCACTCCTCCTTCTGTGGAGCGGGAGGTGGCATGTAGGGGGTTAACAGGAGGTGCTGTGTACTGAGCACCCCCTCTGTGCCCAGGCCGAGCAGAGCACCCAGTGAGCCACCCCTCAGCAGACCCCAGGGCCCTCCAAGTCCCCGTGTCATGGGGTAAACTGAGGCTGAGAGGGGGTGGCTTTCTCCAGGCCTCCATCTCCTGCTGGCCTCAGACTCCCCACCCACAGCACAAGGGCTGGGCTTGAGGCCACGTGCTCACCGTGGGTCCGGCGGTCCTCTCCTGGCTGCCCAGCCCCTCCCTCCTTGGGAGGCCTCTGCCCCCGGGGGTGGCTGGACCACAGACACCGTCCTGGGGCTGAGGCAACCGAGGCCCAGCCAGCGGGTGGGCTGGGGAGTGGAACACGGCATCTCACCTGTGCCGGGTGGACTCGGGGGCCTGGGCCCCCCCGCGGCCTGGAGCTCTGGTGCTGTGGCCTCCTGCCCTGTGAGGCTGCTCTCCGTGGCCTGGGCCTCCTCCTCTCTGGCCTCCATGTCTCCGAGGGAACCTGCGGACACAGCCCAGGGGGTTCAGTGAGGAGAGTGGCCCATCTGGGTGCAGGCACGGGCTCCATGCCTGGGTAGTGTTGGCCCGGGTTGTGGCCACCTCACCCTGGGCAGGGGCCAGCCGCCATTGAGGTCAGAGGTCCCCGAGACCTGTTCCACCTACTCTGTCCAAGCCCCGAACAACTCCCAAGCCTGGGGCTGGCCCTCCTTGCTGTCCTGACCTCCACTGGCAGATGGACTCCACTCTGGCCAGGACAGGGTCCCTCCCCTCCTGTGCCTCTTCCCACCCGATGGCCCTGCCCCACTGAGCAGAAGCTGCGGGGACAGGGCCTCTTCTGGGTGGCCTTTGGGGCCAGCGCTCCATCCCACAGACCCACACTTCTGGCCCCAAGGCCCCAACACCCATCTGTGGTCTCTAGGAGGGACACCTGCAGAGAGTCCCTCCTACGTCCAGCACCCCCTACGTCCTGCTGTCTCACAGGAGCCCCCGAGGCTGGGGACTCACGCCCAGCGGAGGAGATGCCCAGTACCTGGGGGAACCACCAGCCACGGACAGGCCCGGGCCAGCCGGGGTGGGGGCAGGGGACAGGAGCCCCTCAATGGGCAGAAGTCATCCCAGGGGACAGGTGCTCAACCCTGAGTGACCATGGGGCCTGAGGGCAGGGCGGGGGTGCAGCCCATGACATCAGGCGGAGGTGTCAACTGTGTGATGGCGAGGACGAGCCCCAACCCTACCTGGCCCTGGCCTGGATGCCTGTCCATCCCTGAGCCTGTCCATCACTGGCCCACACCACTCGTCCCCTGGTCATGGAGGAGCTGTGGAGCCTCCTGACTCACAGACACCCACTCAGGGTGGCTGAAGCCACAGACCCCACCACAGCCAGGCCCCCGCCACCAAAGGAGGGGAGTCAGGAGGGGTCAGGGGCGCGGGACCAGGGCAGGGCCAGGGCAGCACCCGCGCTCTGGCTGGAGAAGCCCGGGGCGTGGGGCTGGCCCGAGGGCGGGCTGTCCCGGAGGCTGAGCTCCTCCCTGGAGACGGCGAGGGGC